GTTGCATAAAAGATTTGCCGAGAGATTAAAATATGTAATAATCGTTATTTGAAATTCACTCGGCTGTTGCATAAAAGACTTTTTAAACTTTAACAGGAATTTAAATTATAGGTTAGGTACTGTGCGAGTATTATTGTATCTCAGATCTGATTTTAGTGACGTGTAGTTTTTTTCAAACGTCGTTTAATCCAACAGGACGCGTATTAAATATAATGTATACTTCACAAGCTTGACAGTCGGTAATATTTCCTTCGACTCACAAGCTACCATTCAACTTTTTATTAGGTATCAGCTCTTTATTTGCAGTAAACGGTTCAAATTAAGGCGTACATTAATTACTGCACAGATTAATTGATAATGATTTTGACAAGCCGCACGCATTAAACGAAAATCCGATTAGGACACAGTTTCAAATACATTATAATGTAATGTAGGTGTATTATTCGAGTGAAACTATAGAGCTATAAAATTACACTCATGCCTATACTTATTAGACCTGTAAATCGTATAGGTATATACTTTTTTTGGAATTAAAAAGCGAAAGATTTCTGTGATTCGTAAAACGTTATTAGTTGTTATTATATGTATTTAGATATTATTCAATCTCGAAGAGTGGTTTTATTTTATAATCTTTTGAAATTCATAAATTAATAATAGTGATCATTAATGACACCATTTCGTGTGAACCTTCAACCGTTATAACTTATAATTTACACGGTTTCCGCAAAATAGGTTTCTCGCCGAGAAGTCACTGAAGTCTATATCCATTAAATTTTGCTTATCGAACAGGTTTATCTATGTACATAGAGCAATCATAATCGTATTAAACTTATAATTATGTCAATTTTAGCGTATCGTGATCGCACGTATAGAAGGGTTCGACATAATCAAGCGTATAAGTACACACTGTACACAGCATATTATAATATATACAATATAGATATATTATAATATAGTAATCAGTAGAAAACTATTATTTTAAAATAAGCCAGTGATAATAATAATACGTCGTAAGAATAACTCAGCGGTGGGTGTTACCAAATCGACAGATTTTGAACAGTGCAAATTTTTTATGCAGTCCTCGAGCTTTGCGAAATTCCCCACTGAAAACGAGGGTTATAATTTATACCTGACAGGTATTAAAAGTGATGAGACTTATTGTAGATATAGGTAGACAGTGAAAAACGGAGGACCACAGTGGTCCAACACGAATAGACAAACGCAGTGGCGTTTCTAGCGAATGGGCAGGATGGGCAGCTGCACATACCAACATTTCTGGTGCCCCTTATCGGTGAAGGGGGAGGAAATGAGGAATATTATTCGCAGTTAAAACCTAATTATAAATCTACTGTTGCGCATACGAAAATGTAGCCCTAGAACCGCGCATGGCACAAACGATTGTTATTGTCTTTTTACCTTGGAGTTTGAAATTTGAATTACCTAAATAATATTACAGGGACACTATAGGCGAAACGGTTTTCTAGGTATGGGTGAACATAATTAGGGGTAACGAATAAAAACTTTCTGTAACTACGCGTATCATTATTATTAATGGCAAACGGGCACCTGTTGCAGTAACAAGACAAAACTAGATCAATGTTGTCGTTGTTATTTTTTAACATTAAAATACACAATCGCATAATAATAATAAGTACAGGGACGATAATATGTGATACGTGCCGACTTAAATCTTGTATTGTATTTTAATTCTTATAAACGATCCTTGAGCTACTTGGTGAAAATATTATTACTGATCAAAATAATTTTGCTAATAATCTGATTGTAGAAAAAATATATAGTTCTAACTTTCTAAGTTATAACCCCTATAAATTCAAACCATATTTGACGGCCAATATAGATTTATTTTCATATTTTCATCAATGATATAGTAAATGGTAATAGGTACCTATTTAAGAAATAAATACTTGTAAACATATACGTAGGTATACCGTATACCATTTTCAATTATAAAATGTTTTTATTAGATTTTAATAATTTCACATATTTTATTTTACCACAGTATGTCCTATATAATACAGTAAATATTATTCTTTATAATTTGATAAAAAGCGTTTGAACATTAAGGGGATCGTTATAGAATTCACAAAATGTGTGACGTAAATACTTGATAAATCATTCATTATTTTTTTAGTATAAAAAATTACAATTTATTCTAAACTCAATTTACGTATTAAAAAATTTTTCATTGAATGTATTATCGTTATCTATAATGTTTTAAATTTCCATTTTTCAAAATCGACGAGAAAATAATAATTTAAATATTAGGTATATCCATCATACAAATCAATAAGAACCAACAAAATAATAGTCGAACGGGAGTCACGATATTTAAATAAAACGCCCAACGAACCTGAGACAAATTGTATAAATATATTTTTTTAACCATTAAAACTTAATGGTGCAAAAAAAAAAAACAATAACTCGTAGAACGGCAAAATAATAATTTTATCTTGACCTATGTGCAGGTACGTTCAAGGAAAAACAACAAACCGTTTGCAGTTTCCTGCAGTGTATTATATTATATTATATTATATTGGTAGGCGGCACTTTGTTATAATTTATCAATGATATTATTTTATATTCAATAATCGGAGTTCGTTAGATTTTCCATAACAAAGTCCCTGATCCCCACGTTGTCTCGTACAAGCGTCGATGGCATTTGGAGGTTGAACGTTCAACATATAATGGACATACCTCCTGTGTAGATCGTGTGTTATAGATACATTATATTATTGTAATTATAACGACAAAAGACAATCGGAACGTTGAAAACTGCAACCACCTGCACACTAGACGGGACTTGTTCGAAACGGGTTTCGCCATTGAAAAGCCAAATTAATATTTAAAAACAAAATATATTATAAGAAAAACAAAACTCAACCGCCCGTGAGAAACTCACAATTATTATTATATATACCTACGTACTGCACACACACACACACACACACACACACACACACACACACACACACACACACACACACACACATATATATCATTAGAGTATATAATTTCCAATATCACGTGTGTGCATAATTGAAAATGGGCGCCGTGGGAACTCTCGTAAATACGAAATCACCGAAGGCCGTGGACTTAGAATTTGCTCTGATTCCCATTCCGTGAACTCGAGTATGGGTATATTATATTAATATATACGACACCACATAATATACATAATATGCGTCCAAAAGGGGGACGGGTCATCTGAAGTTATATAATAATAATAATAATAATAATAATAATATAATGGCGACGACGGCGTGTGCATAATATCAGAACACGATTCAAACAGGTGAGCTCGCTGAAAATGGCGCGAGACGACAAAACCGTGTACGACCAGTATTGAATGCACTTGCAAGTATTGGTGTGCAATATTATTCTGTATTGATAGGTACTTTACAATATATATAATAATATAATACACCATAGCTATTATCGATCTGATCACAATCGCGACAAACGGAGTTTTAGATCGCCGCAGATATGACCCATTCCGCACCGCTAAAAATGCACTATTCGATTTTTTTATCGTACCTGCCTATACACATGGGACGAGATATAATAATATTTTTTATATTTCTGTCGGCCAAGCTGCAGCAGTTGACCGATCCACTGCGGGAATTTATTATTATATATTGTTGAATATCGCGACATTGCAACACTCGCAGGTCTCTCGCTTATAAAATAATATATAGTTCTAAAAAAAAATTCACACACACTTCTCACTAGGTACTCTACTTATCGCTACTATGTATGTATAATAGATGCATGCATTGCAGAAAACCAGCGTGACTATATATTGCATAAAGATATTATTGTTTATATTTTATTAACAAGAAAACGATCGAAATATAATACGATATGATATATAAATTATGGACGTAATAATAATATTATTATTATATTATACAGCCTGCTTGCTGACCGTCGCGTATTTTATGACCGCCGTAACATAATACGCATATAATAGCGTAACGACGAATACCTAATATTTTCGATTATCTACCATGCATCGGTTAATTGATCGATGTAATGGATTATGTTAATTTGACAGGTAAACTCTCTCGGAAAATAAAACGTTGACTTATATTATATCGAACGGATAGATTATAATATGCTTAAGGTCGAGCGGACGACGTTTGAGCTGGTACACATATTATGTGTGTTATATCTCAATAATATTCTTAAAATAATGAGCCGTTTTCTCCTTGAACACGCCACTATATACCTACGAATTATTGTCAAGAAATAATTACGATTTTTATATTCATCATGCGAGTGCTGCATTTTAAGGATTATAATTTTAAAAAACTTTGCGTGCCATTAACACAATTTCAAACGGCGTTTTAACGTAATTTTTTAGAAAAAAATTCATATCCCTATTGTACAAATAAGGAAATATTATATAAGTATCGTGTTGCATAATTTTGTGTGTTAACTATCAAGTAGTAATTAAATTTGTTATTTCATAAATCTCTATAATTATTGTATTTGTTTTATAATTAGTACACATGGTATATGCCGACTATATTAATATATTACCTATACCATATACATATTATAATATAATATTATGTGTACATAATAGTCGACGATTTAAGTCCGATACGATTATATCATATTAATATTATGATTATAATCGTAAGCTGCTATCGAGTTTCGTTGATTGATAATATACAATAATATATTTTTTGTGTATATTGTTTAATATTATATATATGTTTTTTATTCATTAAGTGACACCCTCGAAGGACAATGAGTTGCACAAATACACAAGCATAGAATAATAAAAATTATAGCTTGTGTACAAGTTAACAATATAATATAAGAGTTTTAGGTTTAGAGGATACTTATATACGATATATGATTTAGTAATAGATTCAAGAAATATAGGATAAAAATTAAAGTTAGTGGTTAGAAAGTATAAATCTTAGATAATATGTTAACAATATCATAGAAAAAAAAAATCGAAATTTGAGATGTCGAACAGCATACGGTTAAGTGGACTGTATTTGACGAAACTGTTCTTGCTTAAATTGGTAAAATATAATCGAGACTGACTATATAGTATTAAAAGTTGGCACCTTGAGAAAAATTTGCTCCAGCAGTCGATTTTATTATTTAAAAATGTATAGATGAATGATACGCCTGTATATATTGATCCGTCTAGAAAAGTAGGGATTTGGCATCAGCTTGGGGCGACGTCACTTACTGGTTATTACCAGCCAAACAGATTTTACGAGCTATCATAAATTAATTATTTTTGTTTTTTTTTTTCTAGGGATTTTCGTGTCTGGACCTTTTGAACGCAGGCATGAAGCAATCTGGCGTGTATTATTTGCAAATCAGGGGTACGGCCTACTGGTACCTGAAGGTGTTCTGCGAACAGGAGATAGCGGACGGAGGTTGGACGGTAAGTTTTGACACGCGTCCGCCGTGAACTCGCAAAGGGCGTGCATATTATACACCATAATAATATTATAATTATTTAAGACATTAACGAAACGAAACACGCGCATACGTAGTACAACGCAAACAATAATAACAACAGCACACAACAATTATTACAATAGCGCACGAGCGTGCATTATTGTTGCCATACATTGACGCCTTATTGCACCTTAGTCTAAAATAATATCAAATATGATTGTTGCGCATAATAATATTACGGCCCCGACGGTATAGTGATAAGACTGATGACGATGGAGTACAACTCGCACCCGGTGCATCCGAGTTGGGCCCCAAGTAATCTCAGGTACTACACTAGTTGGGTCCCTAATATTTTTTGGTGACTACTACACTATACTAACATTTTAACAGACTCAGAAGTCTATTCAAACCAAAGATATGTTTAAAAATATAAAAATATAATTTTTTTTTCATTTCTTTGCTATTAAAAATCTAAACTATTTGAATTTTAGAAATCATGATATATATAACTATTTGAATTTTAGAAATATAATACAAATATGGGTACAATGTCAAAAATTAATGTCATATATATTTTCACCAACACAAGTGAATTTTTTAAACAACATTTTGATTTTATTTGTATAATATAATAGGTAACCTATCTCCTAATATGTATATTTTTTTTTATATATTTGGATTTTTAAAATGTTTAATATTTTGTCTTGGTATTGTACCTATGTTTTTATCATATTATAAGTTGTAAAATTCTTATGGTTTATATTTTTAATGGCAATGAATCAAAAAAAAAAAAAAAAATGGTTTAAAATTATTTTTAACCATATTCCTTTGGTCTACACTCTAAATATGTCATAGGCAGTCCTAAGTCTGTTAAAACAGGAAGAATAATGTTAATATAGTATAGTTCTCACCAAAAATATTAGGCACCTAATTATAGTGAAATACCTAAAATAATTCGGGACCCAACCAGTGTAGTTTCCTAAAAAAACCGGGACCTAACTAGTGTAGTACCTGAAAAAGTCCAGGACCCAACTAGTGTAGAACATAAAATACCAAACTCGGATGCCGCCTTCACATCACCTCTATACAGAACAAAACTGCCACAACTCAACATTAATTAACTCTGAGTTATTACTTCTATCTTAGAATAGTAAAAAAAGTCATTTAAATTTATCCAATATTAACCACCAGAGTCAAAATTTAAGAATGTTACCTTATTTCGATTTGAGGGGTTTTTGTTCTAAATAAAAACTCATTTTCGCGTGATACCTGTTGAGTGGAAAACAACAATATTTAGTGTAGTGGCGGTATTGCATTTTATAATTTGCGATATCGAAGGCGTAACGTAAAATATGTTTAAAAACATTTAAATGTTTACTTTCAAATACATATGGGTACGGTCGTACCGAACACTTTGTCTTAGTCTTAAACTTCAAAACGTTTATTTTCAAAGCTATACATTTTGAGTTGTGACAGTCTTGTTCTGTATAGAGATACGAACTATGATGTGTAGGTAATAATAGCTGCAGCTGTACCTTACACTGCCGACGACACACTCTCGCGTACGATAATAATAATATTTCTCATTATAATAATTTTTCGGACAACCTCGACGGTAGGTAGGTACCTATATCCGACGGAATGATGTAACGCTCCGGCCACGAGTGCAAATCTCCGTTTGGGGACTTTTGATAAAACGCGAACACGATTGTTATAATAACATCATAGCCGTCGTCGTGTCGTGGTCGTCCAAGGCCTCATCGGTCAGCACTCGTAATATGTAATATATATAAAGTGTTTGGAGGCAGCGTGAAAGTTGCGCCGGGTGTACACCGCACCAGTTGAAAAAATAACCGAAAGAAAAATGAGACAAATGTATATCGACGACGTGACACACCGCAACTACCTGTGTGATATAATGCATGGTAACAACTATACATATACTATTGTGCTTTTCGCCACCGTTTATAATATATTATATTGTTATTATCGTTATTATATTGTATTCCCGCTTCCACGCTGGAGACCTTGCCGCGTAGGTAGGTATACATTTTAAACGGCTCGTTGTGCGAATATAATAATGTAGATAGGTATATATGGTATGTTTACAGCTGTATACCTACTACAATATACAGTCGCAGTTCGTTTCGTATTTTTTTATTCGCCATTTAATTACTCCATAATTATCCCTAATCTACGACGTGAGACAATAACGGGCGCTCGATATCGCGGCAGACAAAAGACAACCTTCGCGTCTCGTCGTCATCGTCGTCATATGGCCATTTGCGGTAAGAGACCGTCTCGGTGGTCACGGACGTGAAGTTTAACGACGCTCCGTGTGTTGTTGTTATTATTTGAGCACAAACGACGACGTTGACCGACAGATCAGTATAGTGGCCAATGGGTCAATGTGGGTACCTTTGTCCCCAGGTGATTATTCCGCCACTAAACAACAGCTCTTTGTCGGTGAATATTGTTTTAGATTCTGAGCGGAGCGAGGAAGCTGGTGGTTTTTGCAATGGTGTTAATTTTTTTAATTTTTATCCTGTATTCAAAATTTTTGCCAGAAGCAGTGCTTCGATTTCAACATTATAGTACCTTATATTTTAGCAAATTGGATCAAGATGGCACTTTAAACAAGTCATTTTTCGATTTTCTCATCAATAGTCATTTAATGGCAAGGGAAAAACCACCACCAAATTCCGAAAAACCTCTAAAAATGGGATTTTAATTTCTAACGCTTTGTTTATATCACCATAAAACGAATGCAAAATAATAATATTATAATATTAATTCAACTTACGTTATATAATAAGTAATAACAATATAAAATATCCAGACTGACAAACCGTCATTGCTCAGAGTCGTTTTTCATATACAATGATATTATATCATTGAATTCAATTTTAACACAATCCATTATACACTGACCCACTTGTAACCTACTGTACAGCAGAGCGACATCCACTTACTTGCTTTTTTTATTTCAAAGTACGAGTTTTTAATTTTAAAACGACGACAGACGTTTATTATTTAATATTTCGAATCGAGATATTTTTCTGAGGCTTTCGATCTGTAAAATCAAACTTCAAATCAGTACAATAGCAACTATATAGTTCATTATGGCATATAATGTGCACCGACAGATCGGTATAACGGCTAATGGGTCCTCACTGTGGTCACCAATGCTGTAGATAGCTTTGTCCCTAGGTGATTATTCCACAACTAAACAACAGCTTTTTGTCGATAAATTGTTATAGTTTTTTTTTATTTTGAAATACGAGTTTTTAATTTTAAAACGATGACAGACGTCTTTTATTTAATATTTCAAATCGAAGTATTTTTCTGAGACTTTCGATACTTTTATTTTTTGTATTTTAAAGTATTATTTTGTTGTAATTTTTTTTATAAATTGTGGGTATACATTATAGCAAGTCATAAGTATATTATAATATTGTTAAACATTATTAGTTATCATAAAACAAACTTGTTAAATATTTAGAACGAATAACGGTTTGGTACAATTTTTTAACACATTTTAGAATGTCATTCCTACTTAATTGTTGTAAGATGTAAGGACATACTTCGACGCTTTTTGGGCATAATTGAATGCATTTTTTTCAGAGTTTTATGGTCATAAATATCTTAATCCAAGTAATAACATATTATATGAGTTAAGAGTAATTTACATGGTAAATTAGCGGATTACCTACAATATTATAATGCATCAATATTTTTCGGAGAATCCCTGTGTCAGTGCTCTACTCCGCTCATCTATAGTTGAAATATTTGTAACTATACAATAAAACATTTAAACATAATAATGTAATTTTCCTTTGAAAAACGTCGTGTAATGTTATGCCTTCAAAATTGTGCAAGAAAAACATTTTCAAAATCACATAAATTTACCGAGAAAACGGCTGTTTAGTGACGGAATAATCACCCTGTATTGTGCGTAAGCTGTAGTGCTATACGTGCTCACGATTTAATATCAATCATTATAAATTATAATATTAATGACATTGGCAACAGGGCGAGATGTAATGTTATACATATTATTCATGATATGTGCGCGTAATTATACATATTTTATTTATTGGAATAATTTATTTAGCGGGTAATAATACATCGTAAATCTGATTACATTATATTATTATTATTATTATTATTATATAGTTCCATGCTATGTCCGACAAATTACAGCTAATTTAATTTCACGTATGTACCTATATATACATAATATATATTATAATTACAATATATGCACTACACAATCGCCTTGCATATTTCACCTATTTTCGTGTATACTCGTATGTCATATATTATACGAGTTATTATAATAATTTATAATATGTGGACGAAATAACAGTTTTTATTTTTTCTATCCAAAAGCATTTGCAATTTCTTTGAAAAAACCAATTACGGTCTACGCGTTATACATATTAAATAAGTTTATAAAAAATCGTCGAAATAAGTGTAGCGGGGTAAATTGTTTTTTTCCTTATTATATTATTATGCACCAAAACGAATAATTTTTTAATATTATGGTGTACTGCAGCGGACCGTAGTGTATAACCTATGCGGATAGAGTGTAATAAATCAAAATGTGTATTCGAACATTTTGTTTTTTACTTCAAAGTGTGTATAAATAATATATAATCGAGAAAGTATAATAAATCAGTTCACGCGTCAAATGCTTACAACCAATGAACGCTCATCTGGTCTGTATTATATTGGTCGTATATGCAATTTATGTTATTGCGTAGCATTCGCGTGAATGCTCGAGTTCTATCGCACGCTATAAACAACCAATTATAAAATTAACGTCAAACATCTGACACGTTAGAATTATACTGCAGTTCTGCAAAATCGTAAATTATAGAACACTACGAAATTCGTACAATTAATAATAACTATGCATTTTGTCAGGACCTCGAGATATCGTGGCACAGTTATTGCGACCAAATAACGACCATATTGTAATATGGTATTGCTACGATAACCAAATAACGGCCATATTATAATATGATTGTCATACCTACGTCAGGAAATATAAAAATTTCAAATTTTTTCCTTCCAAGTATTTTAATAAAACAAGTACATAATAATATTATGTTGATGCTTTTACGTGTTAATTGCTTTTTAAACAATCTTATTCTGTTTTTTAATCAATTGTAAAAAAAAATTTGTCTGAATTTAATTATTTGTATTTTATTAACAAGTGGCAAAAAAAATCGAGCAACTCGACACATGTGAACTGCACTGTATAAATATCATTAAAATTTATTTATTGAAAAATATTATAATATTTATATTTATGGTGATAATTTACACTACAATACGGTGTTATTTGTAATAAATCAATATTATGTTTTATTATTATTCACATGAATATATAATATAATATTTATACTGTATTTTTTTTGTCTATTTTATAACATATTTGTACGTAGGTATTAGCTTATATTTATTCAATAACGATTACATTATATTTTATATTTATACTTACATTGTAGGTTATACAAAGAAGAGATGACATTGGAGATCCGATACGTGAGAATTTCAATAGGGATTGGACAGATTATAAAAATGGATTTGGCGACCCTACTAAAGAATTTTGGATGGGAAATGAAAACATTTACATGCTGACCAGTAACGATGAATATATGCTAAGAATCGAGTTGGAAGATTTCGAAGGAAATAGAAGGTAATATTTTGTTTTAGAAACCTTAAGCTTAAACCAGCTTATTGTACTAGCACTTAAACACCATTGCGTGATATCATGTTCTACTATAAACTACGAACCATCAATCTTTAGTAAAATAATAAATGTAAATGAATATATTTACATAAAACCCTTTAAATAAATTATAAATAACGTCGACTGCAAAAATTTCGCAATTTAATCGGATGTTTTTGTTTTAAATTATGTAATATTTTGGTACACATAATTATAAATTCTGAATACTAAATTCCAATCGGTTAGTTGTATCGTGTGTTAAACTAATGTCTTCCGGTTTTTTTTTTTTGGTTATACATAGGTACGCTCAATATTCACATTTCAAAATTTACTCGGAATCCGAATACTACAAGTTAGAGATTGATGGATATGAGGGCAACGCCGGAGATTCACTGAACGACCCGTGGTACGGAAGCAACAACAGTCCATTCTCTACGTACAACAGGTTTGTGACTACATAATATTGTTATTAATCATCCGTATTACCAAATACCCGGCCACGTTTTATTTTGTTAATTTATTTCTCCACAGAGACAACGATAGATCGAGCTTGAACTGCGCATCGATGTTAAAAGGAGGCTGGTGGTGGAAGTCTTGTGGAAGAGGGCTCAACGGATTGTATTTAAATGATCCACAAGATTTAACAGCCAGACAAGGTAAAAACAAAAATAAGGGGAAGATATAGGCAGCTAAATAACCACGAGCCAACGTCGCTAAAATAGTAAAATAACATTACGTCGATTTACAAATATCTCTTTAAAACGATCAAAACTATAAATCAAAGCATTTCGTTATTTGAATTCAGATGGGGGTCTTTGCAGTTTTTCTTAACTATATTTCTTAACTATACTTCTTAATTATAAATTCAGGTTTTTACTACTAAATCGCTTATATTCGCATATTCAATACATTTTTTAAGATTATAAATCAATTATACCATGAGTCTATAAGTAATACCACTAACACAGATTAAATGTCGATTGATACACAGTAGAAACCGCTTATAACGATCTTCAAGTGACCTAGAGAATCAGATCGTTATATCTAAACTTCGTTATATCCGGATGACAAAAACATACTGCGCGTGACATATAAAACCGAACAAGTATGTGGCATGACTGGGAATCGTTTTATCCGGAATATCGTCATACTATATTATGGCATAGTAATAAGCGGATTCTATTTTAAACCAAACGTCATGACTGTATTACAGTAATATATGGAAGGTCCCTAGCCCTCCTAGCTTCTCCCCCACTTAGTAAGGGGTCTTCTCATCGGGTGTGGATTTCCATGACGACAATCAAATAGATGAATACAGTAGAATCTGCTTATTACGATGTCATAATAATATGTATAAGGATATTCCGGATAAAACGATTCCCAGTCATGCCACCTACTTGTTCGGTTTTATATGTCACGAGCAGTATGTTTTTGTCATCCGGATATAACGAAGTTTGGTTATGATCTGATTCCCTATAGGTCCCTCGAAGATTTTTGAAAAGCGGATTCGAATAAATTTTAAAATTAAACGGTCCGGGCGAACGAGTGGCATATGGTGGGAAAAATTGCCCACGGACTTTGAACCGTCGTACGGGGAGATGAAATTTTTAGATTTGTTAGAAAGAGGAAAGGAAAAAGGGACAGTTTTAAAAATTTTAATTATTTTTATCAGCGTGACCGTTTATCGGTGGAAAACCCGTAGCTCCTTACTTTTTCCTACGCATAATACATTGTTAACAGTATATAGCAATATTGTATGTTTGAACAATATAAATTGTACCGTTGATATACCTAGGTAGTAGGTGTACCCGACCGAACCACCGAAGTATCTTTTCGATGTGCACCGTGTGCAGACTTAATAAATAATAATGGATAGTTGTGCATACAATTACCTATTATTATATTTTTACGTTATATCCATCTAAAGTGCTTTCGAGTATAATATGCACACTCGTAATATTATACGTGCAATTTAAAATAATGATGATAACAATAATAGTTCAAATAAACTGCATTTCCCGTTATGATACCTATACCGGTATACTTCAACACGATGGTTGTTTACTTTAGTACAGTGGAGTTTTAAAAGCGTGGAAATTTGATTAATTAGAGCCATTTCCTATGTGTACGGTTAAATGTTAAAACCAACTGTGTATAATAATAAGAGCTTATAATATTCGTTAATAATTAAGAAAGTAACAATACAGACAACCCAATGTAATCACTGGCCTGGAATTATTAATCATAACCGTTATAAATATGATATTATTATAAACATTTCGATCAGATAAAAAAAATAAAATTTTGCTTACATCAACAACAAAATAATAACGAATAATACAGGAATTTGGGTGTTTCCTAGTTGTTGTAAATTAAATATCGTGTAATATACTATAGTATATGGACGTTCTTATTTTCCTTAATATCTGTTATATCTGAACATAATAATAATTAACAGTATATAATATAATGTATATAATGTGTACGAGCGAGTGTGACCATATCTCGCTATGCTGAGCTTTATAATTAAAAGAAAAAAAAAACTTATAATAATAATAACAGTTATGCACAATCCACTGTACACAAACCAAGGTGCGTGAAATATAATGTGATTTACTTTGTTGTCTTAGGTATCGTGTGGTTCCGCTGGAGAGGATGGGATTACACTCTGAAGAAAGCGCAAATGTTAATCAAACCAAAGGTCACCGTCATTCCACCGTTACCCGTCGTCAACGCCGTTTGAGCGAAAAAAAGATTGTCGCATGTCACATTATTATTATATTATATTATATATAAATTATATAGAAAGATAAAATCGTATTAAACATTTGTGTTAAAAAAAGGCTAAAAAATGAAAAAAAAACTAGTTAAAAATTGTCGATAAAATATCGTCGTGTTTTAATTAGGCTCAAATTATTCACTACTATATTTTATTTTATTCTGTTCACCTTAAGACGCATCTTAGTACGTACCTATGATGACATGATGATGTTTGGTCAAATCGGAAGGCATGAGGATAAAAATGTAAAAATGTATTTATTTTGTAAATATATTTAAAAAAATGTGCCGTATATAATAATATACATAATATTTAGCATGATATATAAATATTATTTAGTGTATTTTTAGATGAACTCTGTGTAATCGTTTATTTTATTATTATTATTATTATTTTTTATTTTTATTTTATTGATAGTTTTAGTATACATTTTGAGATAATATTTAAATGTTTAGACACATATCCAAATTCATACATTTCCATTTCTGTAATTATTGTTTTGTTTCTATTACCACCACGTACGTTCCTCTTTATCCGTCCCGTTAATCTTCATTTATATGAAAAATGAAAATCGTCTAATAAAATTGTTTAATATTATTATAATTAAAACATGTTGTTCGTTTTATGATTGGATCCCTCAGTCCCTATAATCCTTTAACATATCGCATGGTTTAGGTGAACACTGATAATTATAATAATTTGTACTGAAAACAGTCAGAGTCAATTCATGCGAACGACTCAATAATGTTTAGGTACCTACCTATTTCTGTAACGATCGTGTATGGAAAATAAAATGTAATTTTATCATGCAGCAACGATGATCATATTGTGAAATTATGAAGATTTAGTTATAAATGTATATAATAGATTATTCGTCTGTACATCAATATCGTTTGTATAGGTACCTAACACTGAATAATTATTGATACCAATTACCAACAGAGAAGTACCTATAGTTGCGATGGTTGACTGTCGTATATCATCGTCAGAGTAATATTTATTACCTACTTAGCTATATTATTTTATTCAAAAAAATTTTCTGTACTGGCGATCACAGACACTGTCTGCAATACACCAGTTCCTATGCAGTGACGTTATATTTAATAATAATTTAAAGAAAATTCACATTATTCACAGTCGGTCGGGCGTTTAATTCTCCGAGTTGTAGACAGTATACCTACATAATATAATAACCTAAAAACGCAATATTTTATTATTATTACCTACATTATGTTTTGAACGGTGTAAATAATAGGTACAAGAGTGCAACTCTGCTTTATAATATTATATATAAGGTACATAATATTATGCCACTTTTATCGGTTTATATAATATAACGACGATATTATAATAATATGTCAACACACGTCATAATATAATGACCGGCGCTATATCATATTATTACATATTATATACCAATACCCACCTACTTATTTGCAACTATACATAATATTTGTTCACATATTATAATAATATTATCATACCTAATATATATATATATATATTTTAAATTAGAGTCCGATATTTCGTTATAATATGGTGGATACGATAATATTATGTGTGCTAATATCAGAGTACTTACCTTTACCTGTATAATAATATCGTATGGTTATAGCAGGTACAATAATATATAGCATGTATAATAATTTATTGACCCATATCGCGACCTGTGCGAAAAACTCTGAATCGGAAATTATAAAGAAAATTACCCACGAGAGAGAGGGAGAGACACGGTCGTGCAGGCGAATAATAATATAAGTAATAACACGTTATAACAATAATAATTGCTAATGGGATTATTATCTGGACATGATATGCTGTTATTTGTAGAGCAAAATGACGAAGCCATCGATATATCGTATTATAATAACAATAATGATAACAACAATAACATTACATAGCCAATATCCGAGTATCATACTCGGAGTTGTATGTTATATTATGGTTACCTATAATATTATATATCATATGTACACGGTGCATTAATAATTTAATAACTGTAATATCGGTATACGCGGTAGGTAGGTAGGTAACGAGGTTTTTTATGCTCGCATAATAATCAATTACTCAACGACGTTGGATCGAAACAATTATGAAACTATATAGGTTGAACGCAGAATTTTATTATACATTTTTTAATAATTGGTACTCATATCGAAAGTATCACGTATCAATCAATAAGTCTAAATTTCACTAAAAACGCTACCTACAAGACCTCGACATATACATATTACTATAGTACCTTTGTGTTTTAAAATGTATAGAAAATAATATATTATAGGTACACATAGATTTCGATATTCAGATTAAGCTGATTAGTTTGAATTCAGAAGGTAATAAACCGATTATTAATTAATAATATAAACATTTCATAGGTATAATATTAATATATTTATATATTTCATAATATTAATAATAAAGTTAAATAAAACGTAATATATTATATATATTTGTGGACGTGATCCTTATTTTTCAATGATAAACCAAGCCTTAACACTAAATATTGTTATAAACTATAGGCCCAAGAGTCAGGGATTTACAAACTAGTATTTATATATCGTATATATTATATAAGTACATAATATTATTTATATAATATTATGCTAAAAATACAAATAACAGAGTAAGGTAAAAAGTATACACATTTTGAGATATTTAAATTTCTCTTTTTTATCTTAGGAATTTATTAAGCCCAATCCCTGACCAATTTTATTAAGAAAGTATTTGGAAAATATGTTAGAAACCTATTTAAATAGTTTTACGTGATAGTTAATTTTTTTTTTTAAAAAAAAGGTATAATTCTGAATTTATGGCAAAGTTAAAAAAAAAAAAAAACAGATTTTAAACAATGAATATTTAAGTGAAATATTTGTTGAAGTTTAATTTGAATATAATAAACAATAATTATTAATAGTATTGAAAATAGTTTTTAAAATAAAATGTAATAATAATTGCTTTTGTAATTTGTATTTGTATTATACATTTTTGTTTTAGTTAAACACTCAAATTGAAAGTGTCACCAATTCGTGGCTTAATTCCCCAAATTATGTAACTCATGTTCTATTTTTTTCTTAACCAACATATACCATAGATTAAAATATATACTAGTATATTTAATCTATGCATATACTCATTATGTCCATGATTTAGATGGTATATTTTCTCCTAAAAATAAAAATAAAAAGTTTAATAATCCTTTAAAATACATAATAATATTAGGTTTAATAATAATATTGGGCTTAAACATTTTATAAACTGAAAATTGTAAATATAAATGTAAAGCCACTTGGTGACTCCAATGTGAGACTTCCTACCATATCATTATTCATTCGTAGTTTCTCTTATTCTCCCATGATTATTGCTTATTGTGCACATAATATGTATAAATTGTAATATTTTAAAAATAAAGTCAGGTATCTTTTTTTTTTTAAAGTATTTAATAATAGTTTTGATCTTTTGACAAAGTTATTGACACGATTGTATTTTCCTATCATTGTAAAATGTATGTAAATAACTAAATCAATAAATTAATTAATAAATAAAAAGTTTCAGGCTAAGTATATGTACTGGAGCTGAGTAATGATTCTGAAGGTCCACTACGTTTCTGGGTATAGAACAAGTCTTGGAGGTTACCAGTTTCCGCGAAAAGCATACCTTTCCCTTTTCCTCCAAATCGTAAATTGGTTGATTCTCTTTTTCACTAAAACTATAAATTTTCTTTTATCCGCCATATGAAAATATTTGTGGGATAGCATTTGAATTATGATTGTAGCTAATAGAAGGGCAAAAAATGATTGATTAGACAAATAAATTTATAAGAAAAATTATAAATTATAAAATCGAATAAACAAATTGTTGGTTTGTGTGTGATAAAATTGTTGTTTACGAGAAAAAAGATTAAGCATTGAATACAGCAAGGTCCCTCACAATAGTTGAAACACACAATTATTATTCTTACCTCAATGAAAAATTATCAAAAATATTTAGCCACAATGTTTTTTACATGCTTAAGTACCTATTTAAGTTCAAAATCTAACCAAATTCGTCAAATATACGTAAGTATGATTATTATTTTTCCGTGAGCAGTGTAAATGTATAAAGTAATATAGAAATAAGGTTAAGACACTTGACAGCTATGTGTGTAATACATAAGTAGGTAAGTGCATACGTTACGTGACGTCTTACGATTACAATTTTAACAATCGTGGAATGTAAATTTTGGTTTTGGCGAAATTCGGCCATGTCCAAAGTCTTAAGTGCAGATTTTGGTTAGTCCATATATTTATCAGAAATTGATATGAAATATGCCTGTGCTTATTTTCATAACTATTTTTAAGTGTTTTTACAATTGTTCATAAAACTACTAGGATAGGTCTTCTTCTGGGCTTTTACAGGCCTCTAAGGCCCATCGCCGCAGCAACATATTGTTTCCATTCCTCTCTATCATTTGCACATTCTTCTGCGTTTCTTACGTTCAGAAGTTTCAAGTCTACTTGTACTAGTTGTACTCTATCCACCCATCTAGGTCTGGAGCGTCCTCGAGGCCTCTTATTGCCGGGTTTCCATTTAGTTATTGATCCAATCATTCCCTCTGACCTCCACACATGTCTAGCCCAACTTATCCTCGTGCTCTTCAGGGACCCAATAATGGTATAGGTTCCTTGTATAGACCATCCAATTCCCCGTTGCCTCTCACCTCATACTCTCCATCGTTATTTCTCTTTGAACCGAAGATTTTCCTTAAGATCTTTCTTTCGAACACTTTCAACAGCTTTCCTTCATCCGATTTTGTCGTGGCCCATGTCCCACATGCATACAGAGCAACCGGGTTTACTATGACTTTGCATAACGTTATTTTAGACTTTGTTGATAGTAATCTTGATTTGAATAGTGGCATTAGACTATAGTAGCATCTATTCGCTGCCATTAGTCGTTTTTTTTACTGGGATAGGTATTTAAATATA